CAAAAGACCCCGAAAAACCCACAACAACCATTAGATCCCAGCCGTGAAAGCCTTCACAGCTGCACGTTTCTTTTGCTTTCTCTGCTTTATTTTGACAGAAATTTTAGTTCAGTTTACAAATACATTTTATAAATGACACCGCATAGAACTGCAACCGGTATCATTTTAAGGAACATCGTATTCAGATTCAGCCATCACCAAATTATACAGCGACCAAACTGTGTTGTGCAGAGATTGCTAAAATGACTTCCCCTACAATCTGTTCCAGCTGGACTGTTCTCCCACTTATTGAGGCTCTGCTTGGTGCCTAAGGAATTCAGACTTAACCAGAATTTACATCTACAGTGGGGTCTTGACTTGAGAACTTAATCCGTATTGGAAGGCGGTTCTCAAGTCAAAAAGTCTGTAAGTCAAGTCTCCATTGACCTACAGTGCATTGAAAACTGATTAATCCCGTAACAGGCCGTTTTTGTTCCATTTTGTTTTTTTCTGGTCTGTAAGTCAAATCTCAGTCTGCAAGTCAAACCTAAATTTTGTGGCCAGAGAAGTCTGTAACTCAAAAAGTCTGTAAGTCAAGCTGTCTGTAAATCAAGGGTCCACTGTAATTTCTTCTTGAAAAATCTGTTTCTCTTGTCCTTAAGAAAATTGGTTCTTTTAAAGAAATATTTAATGCTCATGAAACAATCAAGAAATCCAGTTCTGTACTATAGAAGCAAGGAATAATTGAGTTGCAAGGGGCCTCTTAGGTGATCAAGTGCGACCTCCTGCTCAGTGCAGGAATCCAAATCAAAGCAGATTTCTAGAGCTGCTCTGCTACAGCTTTTCCTATTTTTGAGTGCCAACTGATAGCTTCCTATAAAGTCAATCTCATAATGAACATCAGCTTTAATGCAAAGTGCCACAGGAATCAACTCTGACCCTAGGATAAAGCAATATTAAAAAATAAACCAGGAGGAACTTAAAAGGAGTGGGAAGGCACAAGAGATGTCACTGTACTATGCAAATTAAGCCTGGTGTCATATGGATGGTGGGAAAAATACTGATAACATCAGTGTAGAACACAGTAGGTTTGCATAAAAAATATTCCATCTGGCAGATTCTACAGTACACTGGTTTCTGTGCAATCCCTAATTAAATGAATAAAATTGATGCCTGGACGCAGTTTAATCATCTTCTTGATAACTTCACCTATTGAGATGAAACTACAAGCAAAGGGTATTTGAGCAAGATTCAGACTGAATGGAAAGACAGTCCTCCTTTGACAACCTTGCATTTTAAACATTAAGTTCTGTTTCATCATACAAAGGATTAATGAAATAAAGCTCGTTATTTTTGCTTGCCATCTCCTCCTGTGTCTCATCCACTGAACGAACAGCAGCTAAAACCTAGAAGAGAGAGAGACCAAAGTGTTTAATAAGCTTGGTGGGGAAAAAAAATATTACTTGAGAGCTTAAATGCTTTGAAGAGAAAGTAGATCTTCTGGGCTGAAATGAATCCATACTGTCAATGCAGCACTTCTGTCTCACAAAGCAATCCTCGGGGCTGTTCTTCTGCTGTGCACATGATAACCCATTTCTGTACTTGAAAAAGCTGAATTTTAGACTCAAAGTGCTTCTCTTCCCCCCCCCCACCCCAAACCTGTAATACGGATGTAAAGTTGCTGAAGCTGCATGAAATCACTCCCTTTACACTAAAAGCCAAACTACATACTGTATTGTATTGTGCATGTAATTTATGGTTGCTTTTATTTCGCTTGGGGGCCCAATCCAAACTGGGAATGCAACAGGGACAAAAGGCTAAGTCATGTCCATGCAGTGGTCCTGATCCTCCCTAGGATCACTTTTGCAAAATAAAAACAAGCACTTGGTCCATTGTGTTTAAGCCTCATAAATCAGAATGGGGCATTTTAGTCCCACACAATCACATTTTATTTATTTAGTTTATCTGCTACCTTCTCCCCACACAATCACATTTTATTTATTTAGTTTATCTGCTACCTTCTTCCCAGGGTTGGGACCCAAAGCAACACACCATGTAGTCAGTGACCAGAATGATGTTATTTTTTAATGCTTGCTCAAGAAAAAAATAGGGAAGCCCTAAAGGCTAATTGGAACTAATTAACAATATGCTGGTCTCATGCCTTGTTCTGCACCATGGCTACTCAACCAGCATGCAAGCAAGCAAGCAACCATCGCCAGGACTTGAGAGGAAGGTACACCTGCCGAAGCAAGGAAAGCACTGGAGAAAGGGGTGCGCTCCAAAACATCATTCTTCCTTCTCTCTCTTCCAGGCTGCCAGCAGGATTTTGGAGAGTTCCTCTGCTTTTTGTAACCTCTGCCTGTCCCCATTGAACAGCTGGCCCTGTCCACGAATAAACAGCGACAGAGAAAATGGGATTCTTACGGCTGGGCTGAATGGTGCGTCAAAGATGGGGTTATCGAAACCTTTGTTGTCAGTTTCTCCAGCAAGATCCAGCTCCTCCTTTTGATTCCACAAGGAGGAAAAAGGCACAGAAGGGAGAAATCTATATATATATAAAAAAAGACAAAGGATAGGAAATCAAAAATAGTCTTGCAAAACAGGTAACTTAAGCTCAGATTGGTTCTGGAATCCAGGGAGCAGTCAAACAAAGATTTGACTGGTTCGCCATAACTAAGCACCACAGGCCCAGAAGATACAGGAACAGCGAAGATACGTTAGCTGGTCCTGGACTTGTTGGACTGTTGGGATGGGAAATCCTTGCTTTCTCCTTTCTCTCTTCCTTTTGACAACGTTGATTCTTTTTATTTCAAGTTTGACAACTTTTCACCAAACATTTCAGTCTTGAGTGTGAGTTTCGCAATTACCATATGACCCCCTGTATCTGCAGGGAAGTGGTTCCCACCCCACCTGCATGGATACTGAAAAATGTAGCAAACACTACAGTGGTGCCTCGCTTAACGATTGCTTCGTTAAATGACAAAACCGCTATACAATGAGTGTTTTGTGATAGCTTTTGCGATCGCAAAACGATGTTTTAATAGGCAAAATCCACTTTGTGACGATCGGGAACCGATGCTTTGCATTACGACAATTTTAAAACAACTGATCGGCTGCTTCAAAATGGCCGCCGGCTGCTCAAAATGGCTCCCCGCTGTGTTTTGGGATGGATTCCTCACTATACAGACACCGAAAATGGCTGCCCTTATGGAGGATCTCCACTGGATGGTGAGATTTCAGCCCATTGGAACGCATTGAACGGGTTTTCAATGCGTTTCAATGGGATTTTTTATTTCGCTTAACGAGGATTTCGCTCTACAGCGATTTCGCTGGAACGGATTATCCTCATCGAGCGAGGCACCACTGTATTTGAATAGCGAACACTATACATAGCATGGTATCTGGCTCCCCCTAGTGGCCAGTTCTTGTAACTTCATTGTTAAAAATATATGTTTTGGGGTTTTTTCTTTTAATATTTTTAATATTTGTAGACCATGGAATCAGTAATGAATCAGTAGATACTTATCCCATGGATAAGGCGATCCTACTGTACTAAATTCCTTCAAAGTTGTTCTTGATATGTGCTGTAGTAAATTCCTTCAAAGTTGTTCTTGATATGTCCGTGACTTGTTTGTTTTGTCCACTCTGCAATCAGGCCCATGGAGCAAGCTCTCCATAGAAGATGTGATTTGGGAGATCATCATCTGGTATCCTGACAACATGGCTGGCCCATTGAACATCATTTCATTTTGAACATCCTTTCAAAATGGTAAAAACGTTTGTCCTCAATGTTTGCTCCAGAACTTTAGTATAACAGGCATTGATGTTGAGGTTTCTCTGAGGAAAAGATAGTATGAACGTGATTGAGCTTTTTTGCACATCGTTGATAGATACTCTAAGTCTCGTCTCTTTTAAACAAAGAGGCTAGAACAACAGCTTCGTACATCTTCAGCTTAAAGGAAACATTGATTCCATGTCAATTCCACACAGAGAATCAAAGTCTTCTGAAGCCATGCTGGCTTTAGAGATTTGTAAGGTCACGTCATCATCACTGAGAGTGGAGCAGGAGAGAGTGCCACCCAAGGTACACGGATGTATCCGCTGCAGTAAGGTTGTTCTTATGTTCCTTCAGAACTAGTTCCTCATAAGGCACACGTAGAGCAGATTGGTACATCACCACTGTCTTATCAGTATTGATCTTTAAGCCAAAGTTGTTACCACAAAATAGATTGAATTCTGTGACTCTCCAGAAGAGTGGTTGCATTAAGAGGACAATCACTTGGAAACAAGACCTCATGCACTCTGCAAAATTAGACTTTAGCCACGGGTTGAAGACCCCACACATTAAACAACTTCCCATTAGTGTGGTACTGAAGGTTGTCACCAGGGTTTTCTCCTCTGTAAGCATTGTAGAGCGTCACAAAAACATAAGAAAAAGAGTTAGAGCAAGAACATAGCCTTGTTTTACACATTTTGTAACATGAAAAGGATCAGAGAGGATGCTGTGGTCAATGACACAAGCTTGCATAGCATCATGGAATTCTTGAATGATATACTGTACGTGAATTTCTTACAACAGCCAAATTTCATCAAGATTTCCCATAGACCTTCCTCGTACCCTGTATCAAAAGCTTTAGTCAGATTTATGAATGTCCTGTAGAGGGTGACTTGCTGCTCTTGACACTTTTCTTGTAGCTGTCGAATGGAAAAGATTCTGTCGGCAGTCCCCTTGTTTTTGGTAACAGGCGTCTCTCCAAAGGCCCTCGGAGGTGATTCAGAAGGACTCCTGCTAGAATTTTCCCACCAGAATTCAGGAGTGAGATGCTTTGGGTGGCCCTGAAAATACTAAGTTCCAAAAGTTTTCAGGCTAGTTGTTTCCATATCTTTCTCACAACAATCGTTCCCATGGCCCCCAAAACCACATTATACTGGTTCTTGGAACAACTGTTTCCAGATCAGTTCAAGCATAGCTCCCCAATGTTTGGCCATGGGATCCTAAGCCATCATTGCTTACATTTAGGCTATTATTTACCTGATTGCTAATCCTGAAATGAGAGAGACACACAAGTCAAGAGACCTTTCATGTTACTACACTCATACATCAAGAGATTAAATTTCAGAGACTGCTATCCCAGGATGAGGATCATGTAATTGGATTACTGTAACACACTCTATGTGGGGCTGCCTTTGAAGACGGTTCGGAAACTTCAGCTGGTGCAAAACTCTGCAGCGAGACTACTGACTGGGGCCAGCTACAGGGAGCATATAACGCACCTGTTACAAGAACTGCACTGGCTACCAGTTTGTTTCTGGGCCCAATTCAAGGTGCCGATCATTACCTATACAGTGGTGCCCCGCTTGACAATTACCTTGTTAGACGAAGAAATTGCTTAACAATGAAGTTTTTACGATCGCGTTTGCGATTGCTTAACAATGTTTTAAATGGGAAAAACTGCTTTACGACAATCAGTTCCCTGCTTTGGGAACCAATTTTTCACTTAACGACGATCTTTACAGCTGATTGTCGGGTCTTCAAAATGGCCGCCCACTGTGCAAAATGGCTTCCTGCTGTGTTTTAGGACGGATTCCTCACATTACAGGCACCAGAAAATGGCCACCCTATGGAGGATCTTCGCTGGATGCTGAGGTATTTCACCCATTGGAACGCATTGAGCGGTTTTCAATGTGTTTCAATGGGCTTTTTCATTTCGCTTGATGATGATTTCGCTTAACAACAATTTTGCTGGAACGGATTATCCTCATCAAGCAAGTCACCACTGTACTGTAAAATCCTATACAGCTTGAGTATAGGCTACCTGAAAGAAAGTATCTCCCTATATGTGTCTTCTCAGCAATTAAGATCAGAAAAGGAGGCCCTCCTCTCAGTCCCATTGTCAGCACAAGCACAGCTGATGGGGACACGGGAGAGGGCCTTCTTGGTGGCAGCTCCCAGGCTATGGAACACTCTCCCTCGAGAGATCAGGATTGCCCTTTCCCTGTTATCCTTCCAAATAAAGCTAAAAAGCCATCTCTTCAGGCAGGCTTTAAACAACTATAAATGAATCCATGAGCCCCATTTTAGTAGATAATATTAATATTTTATGTTTTTATGTTTTAATATTTTAATTGTATTTTAAATTGTATATTGTTTAATTCATCTTTTAATATTTAACTTATTGTGTTTTTAAATTGTGTGAATTTTAATGCTGTGAGCTGCTTTGGGTCCCTTGTTGGGGAACTGCAGCATATAAATAAAACTAATAATAATAGTAATGATAATAATTGGGCCTGTACAGAAAAAAAATTCTTTCACTAATTCCCTTTAAAAAAATGTTTTATTTCTTTCAGACACTTTTCCCATTTAAAAAAGAGAGAGAGAGAGGAAAAGAAAGCATAACAATAAATGAAAGCTGTTTCAAAAGAATGCCACATTTTCAAACATACCCCATGGGGCAATGCACACCATATTATCAGCAATGGATGTTTGGAGTTTTATTTTATTGAAATGAATGCCTGCTTTACTGCAAGGAAACACTAATCAGCTTGACACTACCAAAGAAAACAGGCAGAACCCAGGAGCTTTGCTGCCTGGTGGAAAAGGAAAGACTATTGCTAATGAACAGGAACTGTGCAAACGCACAGTCCATGGAGCACTGGGTTTGCTAGCTAGTGGAATACAGAAAGAACTGAGATTACTCTTGAGAATTAATCCAAGGAGCATCCGGGACTTTGACTGGAGACTTGCCAGGGCTGTGCCTACATCATGACCAGCCACCATGCCTTCTGCATATCGGCCGTATATTTACATGCCTGTTTAAGAAGCAGGTCAATGACCAGAATCTGTCCTGCTTACAATAGAAGTCAGGGGGCCTAGTGACATAACTGGAGTGGAAAGTGCAGCAGCCGATGGTGGGTAACAGACAAAAGTGGTTACTGACTCACATGCTGGAGCAAAGAGGCATTCAAGTATGCACGCAGGTGGTGGAGGCAAATGCAGTTGGGATCCTGACCCTCCACCTTTAGTGAGAAGGTAGGCAGGAAGAGGCTGGCTGTTTCAGACAAACCCTCACTGCCTGGCAGACTCCTTCACACCACCTGCAGAATATTGAGTGAAAAAACTCAAAGACTGTCCATAGTGTATCCCTAGAAGGGGAAAGAAAGTTGCAGACTCTGTGTATCTACCTGGAAAATGCTGGGTTGGTAACATCATCTCTCTAAGGAAGGAATGAAGCCATGAAGTCTTGTAGAGAATCATCCTTTGGCTGCAGACCTGTGCTTGGAATGGTTACTTCGGGGGACTCTGCCTCTAAGAATCCTACAGACAGCATTTATTTATCTTATTTTATTTAAAATAAATTTTTTACCCTGCCTTTTTTACCTTGAAAAGGACCCACAGTGGTTTACAACAGCAAAAGACAATATTTAAATGAGTATAGTGGTTAACATGATCAAAAGACTATATTTTAAGCACAATAACTCAGGGAGCCTTTTTGTTTGAAAAACTAACTTTCCCAAGTTCTAGTCCACCCAAAGAAGAAGCAAAATAACAGCTTTGATTGGGAACTAGAGATACAAACACCTTTCAGTCTTGTTTTCATCGCATTCCATCAGTGTTTTCACATCATCCGAGTTCTCCTTTTTTTTTCCTGCATGGAAATCTGTGCTGATTTTGGCGTTGACTTTTCCTAATGCATACCTTTTTATTCAATTTTCCTCACCGAATAAAGCGTGTTTGTGAGCGTTCTTCAAATGTTCATCGTTTTCACTGTGTGCATTTTCTTGTCAGGTTTCCGTTCCTTCGGATGAACAAGCGTATGTCTGCTTTTGTTATTGTTTCACAGGTTATGAAGTGGATTCATTCATAAATTTCTTTGTCATTCCTACTGGAAATTTAATGTTTTTGTCACTTTGCATCCCTGGCATTTAGCCAGCCGTTTCAATTCCCATAGACGATGTTCTTTTGGCCCCAAAGAAGGAGAGACATCTCCTGATCATTCCACTATCATCTTCTCTTATTGGTCTTGAAAGTCTACCAGATGGGCAGAACCAGAGGCAGATATGGAGGTGGCATCATAGAGGGTGTAGTACTGCCAGAACAAAAATCCCAACTTACGTCACTGAGTTGATTTGCAATCACCTTCTATGGGGGAATCGGGAACCTGAAGTCCTGAGGCTGAACCTGGTCTTTTTAGGGTCCCAGTCTGACCTTCTGGGCTTTCCCAGGTGGCCACGTCTCTTCCACAGGACACCATCCCTTGATGGTTTCCAGCTCTGATGTAGGATTGTTCCAAACTGTGGAAATGCCTCTGTTTACTTCAGGAGCTTTCAACCAAGAACATATTAGCGCCCACTGTGTGTTGGCTACAAGTCTTCAACAATCTCAGTACTTGAAAATGCTCAGGAATCTCCTGTCTTACTGGGAGGTATATGGGGGAGATGGAAAAGGTGATAGCAACAAGCAGGTACTGATTGTCACTGAGAAGGTGGAAAAGACTTCTTCTCTATCGCTCCAGAAGTAGGAAATGAGCACCCTGGGTGGAAATGGCAGTAAAGTAGCTTTTGACCCTGCAAAATGCATGGATCTTCCTCATGGCAAGAGGCATTCAGCTATGGAATGGACAGTCTCTGGAGGTGGTGGCTCTTCTTTGGTGGAGGCTGAGTAACCTATTGGATGGATGGATGGATGGATGGATGGATGGATGGATGGATGGATGGATGGATGGATGGATGGATGGATGGATGGATGCAACNGGATGGATGGATGGATGGATGGATGGATGGATGGATGGATGGATGGATGGATGCAACCATTTTCCACATGCTCCCCACTGTGCATTCTTAAACAATAGAGTCCCAGGAATACCTTCCCCACCTCCCACTCCAAATTTATAAATCAATCCTCTTACCTTAAGGGCCCTTTCCTGTAAAGTATCAGGACAATTCCCAGCAGCAGCAGTATAACCAGGAGACCAACAACTACCCCAACGATTATAGCCCCAGGAGAGCTCCCTGCTCCCTGACCACTCCAGTGGCTGCCTGTGGCTGACTGTAAGCTGTCTGCCACGATGCTGAAGGATTCGCCTGCAAAGTGGTGCATACATTTTAGTTTGGATCAGACACCCAATAGCTTTGCATGAGATACATCTCTTTGCTAGTTCACCCAACTCAAGAGGTTCTCAAGGAGGCACAGTGGGGAATTGAACTCCAAACCAAACCACTGAGCTATCCAGCAGCTCAAATCAACAAGAGTTCCCAGAATGACCAACACAGCAGCAGATAACCCTTAATCCACTCACAATGCTCCTTCTAGGAATAAAGAAGCAAGAACCCTATGCGATTCGTCATTCATTTACACCACCTCCCCATATTTACAAGGAAGGAATCCCATGTGCCCAGTAGGTCCTACTTCCAGGAAAAATCATGGCACTGTTTCTCATTATGGAGCCAGGCATGGGTTCGCATCATGGCCAGTGGTAGAAGCCATGGCAGATGCTCTGAAAATATTAGAAAAGCTGGTGCCGCTTTGGTAATAACTAGAACTTGGAAAGAATTGGTGGGGGACTACATTTCCCAGAATCCTTCAACCAAAATGGACTCTACGATGCTTGTGGGGAAATTCTTGGAATTATAATTTTAAAAGTTACCATTCCCCAAGGGGTTCAAATGAGATATATCATACTTCATTGCTAATTTAGGTGTTGCACACAGCATAATGGCACAGGAGGTTAAGCTACATGAAAGAAGAACCTGGTCAAGAAACGTCATGTAAGAGTAGTTTGCGGCGGCCAGACTACTCAGTGGGCTGAGAAGATACCAACATATCTCCCCCACTCTGGCCGCATTGCATTGGCTGCCCATCCGATTCCGCATTGATTTCAAAGTGTTAACGCTTACTTACAAAGCCCTAAACGGTTTAGGACCTCGATACTTGGCGGAACGCCTTCTCCCACCTAGATCTACCCGTGTCACTCGTGCGAGCCAGGAGATAATGCTGAGGAGCCTAACGCCGAGAGAGGCCCGAAAGGAAAAGACCAGAAACCGGGCCTTCTCGGCAGTGGCTCCTCGCCTTTGGAACAACTTGCCCCCTGAGATTCGCGCGGCTCCCTCGCTGGGCATTTTTAAGAAACAACTAAAAACATTGATGTATAGGCGGGCCTTCCCAACAGAAAAACCTTGACGATCTTTTTTCTTATTCTGTTCTTTATTATTTTTTTTAATTTACGTTTCTGCTGTAAAGTCTTAAAATTACATTGTTGTTTTTACTGTAAGCCGCCTAGAGTGGTCTAATATGATCAGATAGGCGGGATAGAAATAAAATAAATAAATAAATAAATAAATGATGGAGCCACATTAACTCTCTTCCAGGATCACAGATGTAACTAGCCGTTTGTTGCCTTATTGGCTAAGCTCAGGTCACATGAAGCAGGCACATGTGGAAAGTGAACGGAGGGGTGGGGAGGAACAGTATGTGATGGCTTTTGAGGTTTGGGGCTGAGCCCACCCATCTTGTGTTTCATGCCCCAGAAGGGCAACTGAAGGCAATATATGCACTCAGCATGGGTGGGCTTGCACCCTTCTAGCAGCAAATTTTTGCACCCTTTACATTTCAGCACTTTTGCTAAAAGCCCCAGGTGGCATGCCCTAGTCCTGGCTCTGTGCAGTATCTCCAGTGAAAGAAGGATTAAGCAGCAGAGAATGAGAGGGGGGAAACTTTGGCTGAGATTCCGCAGAAATACTGCCTGCCTGACTAGTTTAGTTTAGTTTAGCTTAGCTTAGTTTAGCTTCACTTTGCTTTGCTTTGCTTCACTTCATGTGTTTTATTTACTGTTGTAAACCACCCGGAATAGTGCATAGCACTAATGGGACAGTATACAAATCAATAAATTTTGTTTCTTATTATTACAGTCCATGACCACCATAAGACATTGAACATAATACAGCTTAAATTTATAAGGCAGTCACAATGCTACAACAGAGGGGGAAAGAGTTAAAGGAAAGTTATAGCTTAAAATCATTATCCATTAAATCTTTATGTATCTTGCATGCAGCTGCGAGAATTTTTGCGCAAGTAAATGCAATCTGAAGATAAAGGCCTAAAAGTAGTTTGTGTGAGATCTCTGTTTTAGGACAGCCCAAAAACTGGTTAAGCAAAGGAGAATCAGTTTAATATGTGGTTCATGATAGAACTGGCAGCGTAACAGGACCATCACCGCAAGGGCAAACCTTTTCTTTCATGGGGATATTTTTATACCTCCCATTGGTAACCATTCTATCACTGCAAGCGCAAACCTTCTCTTTCATAGGGATATTTTTATACCTCCCATTGGTAACCTCTAAGGGAAGAGCATGCCATTTAGCTAGTGAGAAGGCCCTGCGATGCATCGGCAACTCCAGAAGAGAGAGGTAGGCAGCTGGAGATACAATATATCTGGAATGACCTGCTGCAAGAAAATTGGGGGCTCTGCTAATATGATCTTATACAGTCTTATACAGTTCCGGAAGTCAGTTCGTAAATCAGAAAGTTCGTAAATCGAGCCAGCATTTCCCATAGGAATGCATTGGAAACCAATTAATCCGTTCTGGCCGAAGTCCTCCCATGGAAAAGCAAACCAGGCGGCCGGGGAGAAATCGGCTCCCTCCTTTCCCCCGATGCTGAGTCCCCTTCACGCCGGCTGAGCTCAGCCCAGCACGAAGGGGACTCAGCATCAGGTGAAAGGAGGGAGCCATTTTCTCCCCGGCTGCCTGGCTTGCTTCTGAAGCCAAAAAGGCAGGGAGAAAGGGTGGGAAGTTCGAACTTCCCGCGCTTTCTCCCTGCCTTTTTGGCTTCGGAGGTTTCAAAGGGCTTCCTCCGATGTCGGAGGAAGCCTTTTGAAAGCTCCAAAGGCAGGGAGGAAGGGCAGGAAATTCTAATTTCCCACCCTTTCTCCCTGCCTTTTGGGTTCATAACTCGATCTGCGTTCGCAAGTAGGGTCTGCTACTTGCGATGAGATCGGGTTCGTAACCCGAAACGCTCACAACTAGGGCCATTCGTAAGTCGAGGGCCCACAGCAGCTGCATTTGTCAAATAACCCCAGTTTGACAAATGCAGCTGCTGATGTTAGAAACATATATAGGCATTTGGAAGGCTGCCTTTATGAACTTTGAATGAGTTCTGTCTCATGGCCTGTCTAAGTAAACCCCACTGGTTGAGATGGACAAGTAGTCTGACCTCGAGTAAGGCTAAATACTCAAGTCCAATCCATCTAGGAGAAGGAAAACTCCCATTTCAAACCTCCACTGCCTTGTGGCTATATCCACTGATGGAAAAGGCTTCGGGAGTTAACCTCGAGGCAAAATCCAGAGCCGGAGTCCCGGAGGCAGTTTGTGTCATTCTGGCAACTCCTGCGATGTCGCTGGAACCAGTTATATTGGCGCTTGCCTTTCCATTGCATTATTTCAGTGATGTGGAGAGGGGGGATTTACTGCTTGGGTAACAGCCTATCCTCCATATTATTTTACCCAGGCTTCGTGCCCTGGAGAGGACACTCCAGCTTCACATACACCATCAAAGCAAAATCAGGGAGCTGGACAGGGGACAGATTGTATTTACCTTCAGTGTGGAAGGGATAGCCACTCTCAAATTGGCCTTCTCAGCCACACTAGACACTGTTCCAAGACCTCCATTCAGGGCACATTACCATAGTCTCTCAGACTGAAGCATGCCTACAGAATCCATCTATGCTGCGAGTGGTCAAGTAAGCTAGCCAATATCAGCTACGCACCCACATCTGCAAGGTGGCATTGATACCAGAGGCCTACTTCAAAAGGATGATGTGTGCAAGGCTCACTGATGGTTTGCAATGCACTTATAAATGTACTAGAATATAAACACCAGAGGTTATGCCCCTTGTTCTCACATGGCTCTACTGACAGCAGCCACGGTTTGATTTCCAAGCAAACACTATCATCCAGTTTGTCAACAGCTTCACCCTCCGCAAGTTTTCTTTCACAGCAATTCATTAAAACCTGATCCACTGAGCCTGAAGCAGAAAAGTGAATCCTAGCTGTGTGCAAGTGGAAGTCAGGCAGGGCTAAACTGAGAAGTGATGCCTGGTGAGACCACGCAGCAGAAGGACACGTAAGACTGTGTACACTTTCACGTTCTGGGTGCTGTTTCTTGTTTTGCACCACCCTGACACAAGCACCCAAACCCTATGCCAAAAAAATATATTCTATTCACACACAGGTCTTGTGCCTGCACAGCAATGTCTGTCCACCTCTATGAGACAAGACCATTTTTTCCATTGGGCACAGCATAGTTCTGCCGTAGGAGAGATGACCCATGTTTCATGAGAATGATGAATCTGCTCTGAGGTTTCATCTAAAATTTACAGGAGCTATCCAAGATGCAGTACAGTGGTGCCTCGCTAGACGATTGCTTCGTTTAACGACGAATTCACTTAATGATTAGTTTTCCGGAGGAATCTTGCGCTCCGTTTAACAATGTTTCCTATGGGCGATTTTCGCTCTACGATGGTGGGGACTTTGCCTCGCAAGATGGTTAATTTTCGGGCCACTGTGTTTCACTTTATGATGGTTTTGACAGCTCGGGTTCGCTTCGCTAAACGGGCATTTGAATGGGCGCTGTTTCGTTAGACGGCTGTGTTCGCTTGCGAAACGCGTTTCGCTTAACAATGTTTCCTATGGCGATTTTTGCTTTACGATGGCAATCCGTTCCCATTGGAACGGAGTATCAGGGTTTCAATGCATTTCAATGGAAAACTGTGTTTCGCTTAACGACGAAATCGCTTTTCAGCGATTTTTGTGGAACATATTAACCTCGTCTTGCGAGGCACCACTGTATATATTTAGGGATTAGAGTTGAGCACATTGATAACTGTACAATTCAGACTAAAACCCAGAGTGGGCTAATTCGTCCTACAATACTCAAATCATTAGCTTCTAATAGTTCTTGTCATTGGTAAATTGATCATCTCAAATGGAGAAGCTAGGGTACTGAAGCTGATGTTGTCAATGCAAAAAGTGGTACGTACTTTCTCACACAGAGCTATGGCCACTTTCTCAGAAAAGATAGCTATATGTTGCAGGGAGCATTACTGTTCTTCTAGAGCAGTGGTTCTCAACATCGAGTAACCCAGATATTCTTGACTGCAAGTCCCAGAAACCCCAGCCAGCACAGCTAGTAGTGAAAGCTTCTGGAAGTCGCAGTCTAAGAAGACCTGGGTTACCCAAGGTTGACAATCACTGCTCTAGAAGCTTGAAAGCGGACAACTGCAAGAAGGAGATGTAGCAAAGAGTTACCGTGTTCTGCAATATCACTCATTATGTCTTTTGCCACTTGTTCAGCATGAGTCCCAGTCTGCGACCCCGTCCCGTTGTCCATTAGCACAATCTGAATGAATGGGACTGAACTGCGTGGTATAATCCCTAGGAAAGTCTTCGGCTTGTGCACCTTTGAGATGGCCATCTGAACACCTGCATTCTTGGGCTTTGCAGAAACACAACACATAAAACACACTCATTGTGGGCAGGCAGAGCGACCATGTGGCATCTCTAAACTGTTCAGCCAGCTGAGATCAGGGACCTCCTTGCCTATTACTGTTTTGCATTTATTGCCCCATAAGTTCTAAAAATCTTGGACAAACATTGCCTGAAGTATATTAGTTCTTTGTTCCAGATACTCTCATTAATCGAAGTCTCGTGGTACCAAGAGAACCATCAATAATGTGATGAGATTCTAGAGACGGGTAGCGGTGGGATCCATTTTGTTTACATTTAATGAGAATTTACCCCATTTGTACTTGAACCAAAACCATTACTCCTCAGTAGTCACATTTGTCCAAATTGAAAGATGCAGCTCTGACATACTAGGGAAAGCGTATGTGCATTCTTAGAACGCATTTCATACTGAGAAAACTATTAGCCATTATTGCCCATCTTAGGCAAAATTGTGCACAAAATGCACTTTGTAAGAGGAATGGGCACAAAAATGTATAGGAATTTTTTGTTTGGCCTTTTTGAACAAAACTGATGCCGAAACAAGAAAGAAAGAAAATGAAATGGAAATGGATTCATCCATTCCTATTTAAACATTTCTGCACCCGAGGAATTTTTAAACTAAGACACACTCTATTTCTGGTTTTGAATAAAATCTTCTACTGGGTATTGCCTCTAGTACTGACAGAAACATGTACATCAACCATGACTAGTAGCTCCTTTCTTTATACCCACTCAAGTTCAAAGCCATCCAAGCTTAGATGATTCTTGCCAGTCACACAGCCTAAATGTCTGTGGTCCGAAACATTCTCTTCCTGTCTTGAGCTATTGTATTGTAATGGTTATTATCTGATTATGGATGAGACCCTCTACCCTACATAAATCATGCCCGGATCTAAGGAAGATAATTACTATACCAGACTGAGGAAAGTGTGAAGTATTCTGTTCCGATACAGTTCTATGTCAAATCCAGCAGAGTATTCCAAGGAAATGATGGCTCCTTCAGATACAACAAGAGAAGAGAGAACAACACAGGCAGAGTAATTAACAGAGCAATCCTGAGAAAACCCTCTGCGGGCAAGCTGTCATGACACATGCAGGTTGGTGGGGACAGGGGAGAGGGCCTTCATTGTCACTGCTCCGAGACGCTGGGACTCTCTCCCATGGGAGGCCAGGCTGGCGCCATCTTTGCTCTCCTTCCTCAAGCAAACAAAGACCTTATGAATAAATATTATTATAAATAGACAGACAGACAGACCAATCGACCGATAGATAGATAGATAGATAGAGAGAGAGAGAGAGAGAGAGAGAGAGAGAGAGAGAGAGAGAGAGAGAGAGAGAGAGAGAGAGAGAGAGAGAGAGAGAGAGAGAGAGAGAGAGAGAGAGAGAGAGAGAGAGAGAGAGAGAGAGAGAGAGAGAGAGAGAGACAGACAGACAGACAGACAGAGTTTCTGTTGTGATTTTATCAGGTTACCTTGATCAATGATGGAAACAGTTACTTCAACAGTAGATGTACGTACTTCAAGAGTACAACCCCCATGCTGGCTATGGAGTCCTGGGGATTCAGCCAATAAAGTCACTTCCCCCACCACTGACTGCATGATCATCATCATCATCATCATCATCAAGTTACTTCAACAGTAGATGTATGTACTTCAAGAGTACAACCGCCATCCTGGCTATGGACTCCTGAGGGTTCAGCCAATACAGTCACTTCCCCCATCACTGACTGCATCATCATCATCATCATCATCATCATCATCATCATCATCATCATCATCATCATCATCATCATCCTTATTTATATTGTGTGCTACACCAGAGTGCATTCCAATGGTCAAAAACAATTCAAATATAGTACAACCATAACATAATTACAACGATAAAAACATACAGTAAACAATTATCATTCCATAAGACAATAAACAACAATCAAAATAACTATTAAAACTATATAATAATTGAAGTACAGTAATTCTATCCCAATAATTACCTATTTCCATGGTCAACCCCTGTGGAACAATAATGACAAAACATTCTCCAGGGCTGAGGCAACCAAATCAAGTCACTTCAGATTTGGTGTACCTGAAGTACCAGCATGGTAAGTTTTTCTTGGTCTTTTAGTAGTTGACTTTCCTCACTTGATGAAGCTATTTTGCACTGCTGGCATTATTGTTTGCCATTCACCTGATCCATTGTGGCCCAGATCTGAGACAAATATGACTCTGAATTTTAACAGGCAGTTGACCCATTAGGCAGATCTCTCTCATCCCCATATTGAGAGGCATGGATGTATAAACCACGCATTAGAATATCAAAATGGAAACATGATGCTTTTGGTTCTTTTCATCCGATCTGCTTCTGCCAGATGATCTGTACAGTTTTTCCAGAAAGGCCACAAATCTCTGAAATGATGCGGTCATGCCACGAGGAATCTTCAATAGCTTACTGTCTGTGTTCCTGCCTTAAAGACAGGAAGTCCCACAATCAACCCACAGCTCTTCCGCTGAAAAGTATAAGGCAGCTGGCGTTGCAAAGATCTTTGACTAGAACCCTAGAAATCTGCCATTGAGAAACCTGGTCAAGAACAGCCATTTACAACAGAAATGCAGCTGAAAATGAAAAACGCATCCAACAGGTTAGTTGGGCCCTGGCACATTTATTCGTTATGCGACTTACACATAACGGGTGGGTGGTCTAGAATATTGAGCTTGGGAAAGTTACTGTTTTGAACTACAAGTCCCCAAAACCTCAGACAAAGAGGCCAAATTTAGGAATGGGAGTTGTGGTCTAGAATACTGCATAGAAGGACCAATGATTTGAGTCACGGTGGAAAGTTCATGACAGATTATGACTTCATGAGCCATCTTTACAGATAGAATCACTGTTGTTGGGTCAGTTTTCCAGGGACTTTGGTGCATTTCATTTGCTTCCTTATCAACACCAATAGGATCAAAATCTTCTGAGCCTCAGGCAATGTTTGCACATGACTGCCACATCTACTGCTTTCTTCTATGGCTTCTTTCCTTTCTCATTCACAGCCTTCAGTCATGTTCATCTACACTCAAACTGCCACCACCTCTAATTTATATTCATTCCTACCTTCCCACCACCCTGCTGCTCTTCTTCCAGATTTTAAACCTCACAACAAAATCAAGCCATTACATGTTGAAGGACCCAATCAAGGGAAACACGTGCCTTTGCCAGTTTTAACCTTAATTTTCTTGAAGAAAAATTGATAGGGATAGGGTTGCATGAGATGAGGCCAACCTTGCTTTTACCCATAAGCATCACTAAAATGTTGGACAACTGTGGGTCTTTTGGAAAATATTGCTTTGATTCCTTTAAAAGATTTGCCTAAGTGACATATAGCATAGCCCTAAAGCGTTCAGAATTCATATGGCAATTATGAATTAGAAACACTGTACAGCGGGGAGAAATAACATATTTGCCTCCAAGGTAAATGAAAAGACAAGAATCATATGGAAGAGGAGAAAGAAATGTCACTAACCTGTTAGACACATATTTCATTTTCAACTGCATTTCAGTTTAGGTCCATTATTGTTGCCTTTCGTTAGTCTTATTCCAAACTATGGATATTGGAATAAGTACCTGGTAACTATACTATGGCAATTCTTTTATGGGCTGAAACTGTTTGGCAACTGTTGGTCTACCTCTTCTAAGCAGGCTGAAATGATTATTAATGGAAGGAGGTACCTGAATGCAGTGTTTTACTGAAAAAAGTAATCAAATTCACTTTTTTTTCCTGTCCTGGCCTGTTGCCAACCTTGGGTTTAGGATGAAACACTGTCCACTGTGAACTTAGGAAAAATACTTTTTTGAACTACAACTATCAGAATTCTCCCACCCTATCCCCTCCCCAGCCTGGTCACAACCCAAACTATTAGCTGAGCCATGTAGGAGAGAATAAGACTGCTAGGTCAGAGAAAAAACAACAGGTGCACAGTGGGCGTCTCACCTTAGGGAAGTTCCTTTTTGGGATCATAACACCTAGAATGCCCCACCAGCCCTGCCATGAGGAAATGGCCTTACCATCAGGTCAAGTTGTGGCCGCTTGACTGCTATCTTGAGAAGGCTAAGAAGAGGTTCTTTCCGATTCAGAGACGAAGAACACACCAATGGAGAAAAGGTACAAGACTTTACTAATGAGATAATAGAGCAGGAAAACATAAGCAGTAAAATAGGAAAGCAGAGGGAATCACCCTTTCTGATCACCCGGAACTCCTGAAGAATGGCTGCGGGTGACCCCTGGAATCAGGAATTTTGCAGATAAGGTAAAGGTAAAAGTTCCCCTTGACAATTTTTTGTCCAGTCATGTTCGACTCTAGGGAGCGGTGCTCCCCCCCGTTTCCAAGCCATAGAGCCAGCGTTTTGTCCGGAGACACTCTTCCGTGGTCACATGGCCAGTGCGACTTAGACACGGAATGCCGTTACCTTCCCACCAAGGTGGTCCCTATTTATCTACTTGCACTTTTACAGGCTTTCGAACCGCTAGGTTGGCGGGAGCTGGGACAAGTGACGGGAGCTCACTCCGTCACGTGGATTCGATCTTACGACTGCTTGATCTTCTGACCCTGCAGCACAGGCTTCTGCGGTTTAGCCCACAGCGCCACCACGTCCCTTGTGCAGAACCTCCTGGGATATACAGTAGATCTATGCTCAGGCCAAACCTAGATCCAAGAAGATGTTGCACAATCACTTAATACAAATAATGCCTGCTTGCTGCTCCCACCAACCAGAAGGGACATAAGACTGAGCTTTCTAAATACTCTGCTGATTTACTGTTCACATTTGGTGCTATGTTTGCCCTGTTCTTCCATTGGTGTTGTCTCTAAATCCAAAATAATGTTTTCTCAACCTTGTCAAGACGTCTACCTCAGACATCTCTACACTGATTGACAGCAACTCTTCACGTTCCATGTGCACACGATAGAGATGTAAAGAATACTCTTAAAAGTATCCAAGTAGTCGATCTGACATGTTGAGACAGCTCGTTGAGAAACCACTAGCCTGTAAGAGTTCCCACTTGTGCCGAGAGAACAAGACAAGGAGGATTTATTTAAAGTAGAGTTTTCTATCGCTTGTGCAAAATGTCTCCTTGCAAATTACTGTCATTCCCATTTGTGCAATACAGGGAGAAAGCACAGGACTGCCTGATTGATCAAAAAAGGGTAAACTGTCCATGCAGTGCTTCTGATTTTAAGAAGTCTATGGAACAAGGTGACAGCCACTGTCGTTTTGCACAGTTTGTTCATAAACTGTCCTCACAAATTCAACTCTTGTTGAGAATACCAGTGCTAGACACGTTCATAAACTGTCCTCACAAATTCAAGAACTCTTGTTGAGAATACCAGTGCTAGACAATATTTCATTGTTTTCCAGGGAGGGAAAAAATGTTTTTCTTTTTCTTATTGGGAGGCATGAGGCTGAGACAAGTGAGAATATACAAACCTAGAAAAAGATATATGGGCCTTGCCTCTTGGTCATGTCACCTATACAACTGCAGCTTCACTCACCACATATGTCACAACAGTGACCGACTGGCTTCAGTGGGTCCTTGCATGTAGCTACTGGACATTGATTCCCATACTTCTGGAGCAAAGCACCACAGATTCTGTCATGGTCCTTCAATAAGAACAGATTAGATTGCTAAATGAAAACAGCATTTTGGCCTGCACCACCGACTTGACCTCACTTAGTAACTGCAACACAGCCAACAGAGACATGATAAAGGTACCCTAGTTACTCCAACTAGAGTTTCAGCACCTTAATTTCTTTACTTTATTTTTACTTTTACTTTATTTAGATTTATACCCCACCCCTCTAGACAAAGTCTACTTGGGGTGGCTTACAAAAAATGATAAAATACAATAAAATAATACATTACTAAAACCTAATAATATAACCAACTAATTTATGAATATATATATTATCAAGATGGGGGAATAGAGAAACGAAACAATTAATTGACTGGAGGGAAGGCCTGCTTAAAGAGCCAAGTTTTTAAATGGCTTTTAAAAACAACCTGCGAGGGAGCCAAGCCGATTTCTGTTGGCAGAGTATTCCACAGCCGAGGGGCCACCGCCAAGAAGGCCCGGTTTCTTGTTCTTTCTTTCCGGGCCTCTCTCAGCGTAAGGCCCCTCAGCTGTCCCTGCTGGCTTTGTCGGGTGATTCGAGCAGACCTGGGTGGGAGAAGGCGATTTCTTGAAGTCATGCTGGCTGGAGCATTCTGGGTGCTGTAGTCTGAAACAGCTTTGTTTCGAAGTTCTGATGGGCCCAAATCTTGGCAGCTGATGACTTGGAAAGCAGAACTATACTCTCTTTCTCTGAACAGATGGAAATTGCCCCTTCAGTTAGATCCCAAAGATACAGGATGGAGGGATTGCCATATAATCAGCCTGTTGTGTTCTGTAACATTCTTTTTTTATTACTATCTTGCTTTTTAATTATTTTTATTTAGTTTCAATGATTTAAAACAAAATATAACACCACTACTTAAAAAACCACAAAAGCACAAAAATACAAAGCACACACACACACAAATGTAATACAAATGTGCACCCTCCCGTCGGGAGAGTCTAGAGATATAAGCCATTTTCTTTCTTTCAGGAACTCCATTCTCCTTCTAAAACCACATTGATTCTTGTGAAAGTACAGAACTATTCCCTTTTTAAAGCACAAACTCAGAATCTCCACATAAATAAATTAAAATATCCTTATGTAACAATCCCTTCTCAATTTTCATATTACATGTTAATTTATCATTAACTGCTGTATTCCACAGTTCCTTATACCATTCCTCCAATGGAAAATCATGCTTAACTTCTCATCTCTTTGCCACCACAAATCTTGCTGCTGTTTTTTAATTTGAAATTAATTCTTTCCTTGTCAAACTCTATACCAGGGGTCTCAAACATGCGGGCCGGGGGCCATTTACGGCCCTCCAGATGATAGTTTGTGGCCCTCACCTTGCCTACCCCCCCAAAGCACCCACATATCCTCTGCTGTCAAGAGTAAAAAAAAAACTTTGCCTCACTCGCCGGCTCTCTCCCAAGACAGCACCTCTTGCACCTTCCATCCAGAACTGCAGCCTGCCAGCCAGCCCACCTGTCTGTCGGCTAAGGAAACTCCTGGGCGCCTTCTTTGGGCTCTTGCTCTGCTTGGCGGAAAATCTGATGCGGCCCAGCCTCACCCAGACTCTGTCTCTAGCGGCCCCCAGGTAAATTGAGTTTAAAACCCCTGCTCTATACACTATCATCTAATGTTGATAGAAGTGCTAAATTTAATATTTCATTGATTCCTTAAAGAGCAACTTCCAAAATCTCAATATATTCTCACATTCCCACCACATATGGAAATAAGTACCTACCTCCTGACATCCTCTCAAACATAAACTAGGATATTTATTGTCCAAATGATTTAATTTCACTGGAATCAAATACCATCTCCAAACTAATTTATAAATTTTCCCCTTTATCCTTATAGTTATACACTTTAATATTTTTTATCCCATCTGTTCTTCCACACCTCTCCCAAATCTAATTCTCATAATGCTTTAAGAATATCTTTTTTGTTCTCTGCTTTTTAGATTAGGCATCCTTCAGTCTCAAGAGACTGTGGAAACATGCTCTGTATGGAGGTCTTGGAACAGTGTCTAGTGTGGCTGAGGAGGCCAATTCGAGAGGGACAATCCCTTCCACACTGAGGACAAATACAATCTGTCCCCTGTCCAGCTCCCTGATTTTGCTGCTTTTGTGACTGCCTCTTTGCCTCGGCCTGCTGGACAAAGGTCTCTTCAAATTGGAAGAGGCCATGCTGCACTGCCTGCCTCCAGGCTGAATGCTCATATGTCAGGGTTTCCCATCTGTTGAGGTCCATTCCTAAGGCCTTCAGATCCCGCTTGCAGATATCCTTGTATCGCAGCTGGGGTCTCCCTCTGGGATGATTTCCCTGCACTAATTCTCCATACAGGAGATCTTTTGGAATCCGACCTGCTTCCTATACATTCTATTTGTTATCCCTTTCATTATTTCATCTTCATCTACCCTTCCCTTCTGTGCTATCATTTATTGAAACCTTGTAAGACCCTCTACATTTACCGTTTATTTTTACCCATTGTTTAGTTGGGTTTAGAGATAAGCATGAACTGACCCACAAGCTAGAAAAAGCCTCAAACTGGCCTGGTTCGTGGTTCGATTTGTGCCTTCTATTTTGCCTAAACAAGATGAAGCTCCAAACTTGTTTCCTCTTAGCGATTCGCTTCTGCTTTGGCAAAATGGGTTGCCCGCCTCTCCCCCTGCTCTGTTGCCTCCCTACCTTGTCTTGAAGCCACCACAGCCACCTTCACTGCCTCCTCTTCCTCCACCACCATCCTGAGAAGCAGCAGGACCAGCTCCTTGTACAGAATCTGGGCCTGCTGCCTGTGTGTACATTCCCAAGGCTCAGCTGACCCTGGCATAAACCCCAAACACACGCCGAGAACCAGTTCATTTTTCAGTAGTTCGTGATAGTTCACGGTTTGTAGGTAGACACAAACCACAAACCATCATGAACCCCTGGTTTTCTGGTTCGTGACCATCTTTAGTTTTGTTTTCTAGCATTCTACAGAGATCACCGCCATCCTAAGGAGCAAGGGCTGGTAAAAGATGAGGACTTACAGCCGCATTTCCGCATTCACATCCTGATTTTTCTGGACACCTGGTATTTGTTAGCTGGAATGTCCCTTCCCCGTGAAACTGTAGCTTTGCAGTGGAACTCTGCATATATTCTACCAAAGCATCGTCACTGGTGAATTTCTGTTCCCATTCAGGTATGAGATGAAGAGAAAAACAAAACACAGAAATAAACATCCGTTTCAACTGTGAATCTGAATTAAGAATAGTTTAAATGAAAGCAGTATTGTCTCTCTAGGTAATAGAAATTGCTGTGATCAAAATAGCAATTGCATTAGGCCTGATTGATTTAGATAACCCAACACACACAAATGTCTAGATTCAGTTTAAAGAAACAGAATTTTCAGAAGAATTTAGACTTACCCGCCATCAGTAAACCCCTAGATAGCAGGCTGAGAAAGTGATGAGTTACCGTATTTTTCCATGTATAAGACGCCCCCATGTATAAGACTTTTCTAACCCAAAATTAAGAAATCTAAGTGGGGCTTAGCAAGTGGAGGGGAAAGCAGGGATCAAAGCCCTCCACTTGTTTTTGTTCTCTCCTCAGCTTACTTCCATGTGTAAGATGACCCGACCCTCATTTTTTAGTCTAAAGATTTTAGACAAAAGTATAGTCTTATACATGGAAAAATATGGTAAACAACTACATCATGTACACCAAGTGTGTATGTTGACCAATGTTCATCTGCCCACAACTTGTTCCCACTGGATTCTGCAAATATTTCTTAAGTTTCATAGATTTCAGAAAATTGACAATCTCTCACTTGGAGAGATCGTACGGCATTCCCCTGGACAAGCCTTCTCACACTGGGTTCTTAGATCACAGTATTTCCCTTCTGAACCATGGATGTCCTGGGACTCAGAAAAATCCATTAACCCTAATCTGCCTTCTTTACTATATATTTGGAAAGAAGGTCAAACTGGGTCATCAAAATGACATTACCATGCCTTAAACAAAACTGCTAAAATGCCTGGGCTTATCAGGAGTGGAGGGACTATGAAGACCATTCTGTTCTGTTCTTGTTGTTGCTATGTGCTTTTGACTTATGTTCTTTCTTGTGGGGTTTTCAAGGTAGGTAGAAAGTTCAAGGCTCACTGCAGCCTCTCAGTGCGCAAAGACTTGAACACAGATCTCCTGAGACTCAGTCTGTTATTTTTGTCTGTCACACCACACTGATTTCAAGTTCCTAAATAATTCTTTAAGTGCATGATTTTGTAATGAGCTCTTGGTTGGTGATGCTGAAGTTTCAGATAAGAAGGAAAAAGGAAGATCCTGCAAAGCTAAACTATGTTCATTTCTGCTTTAGAGACTCATTTCCCCCTTCTTCCTCACTGTTTATACTGTATGTGGTGAAATTATACAATTCAGGTAGGATAGATCCATTGAATCAGATGGACCTATGTATGTGTCAACATAGATGGTCTACTCTAGTTCAGACTACATGGATTTAGGCCATTTTGACCCTCACCTGGAGTGCATGCCAGTAGCCCTTGTGAAATATAGTTACAATTTTGGAAATAGTTTAGCTTTTTTTTGGATATGCCCTGTTTCCCCGAAAATAAGACACGGTCTTATATTAATTTTTGCTCCAAAAATGCATTAGGGCTTATTTTCAGGGGATGTTTTATTTTTTTCAAGTACAACAATCTATATTTATTCAAATACAATGATGTCATCTTCTTCTGGTTGCTGCACAATGTTGAAGGGCGGGGATTCACTTACCTGGGGCTTATTTTTGGGGTAGGGCTTATATTAGGAGCATCCTGAAAAATCCTACTAAGGCTTATTTTCAGGTTAGGTCTTATTTTAGGGGAAACAGGGTAGTTCAGCTTATGGTCACAAAATAAACCTAGAAGAAACTGCTCAAGTCTAGATATAGCTTTTTGTTGCTGTTCTTTGAGAACCAACAAATGGTTCTCAATTTCATCCAAAGCTTGGAAAATACCAATTTAATTCACAGCTTGGAAAAGCTACTTAGAACCAACAAATGGAAAACGCTACTGCATCAATTTCATCCAAAGCTTGGAAAATATCAATTTAATTCACAGCTTGGAAAAGCTACTGAGCTACCCAGCAGTTGCAGCAAGCTGCAGCAGCTTATTGACGCTATAATAAATGCTGACCATATGCCTGGTAATGCAACCAGCACAAGACTAGACATACAAGTGATGTTTCATTAGTTAAGTTCAGTTACTGTATTTTTTGCACCATAAGACGTTCAGTTAATCACTGCAGCCTCCATGCTTTTGCTTATACGTGCCTTAAAAAAAAACCTAGCAGGATTCCATCCAACGAATAATGAACAACATGTGCATGCACTCCAAAAATCATTCCTCCAGTTTCTGATTTCGTTCTACAAATATCCCATTTTACCTGCCCCATTATTGAAATACTCCTAAGATGTATCATCTTTTCAGAAGATGTGATGTTCACTCGGAAGGAGGCCTGAGGCTGAAAGATGACGTCATCGTACTGGCATGGGACACGTTCTTCATCCATGGAGAAGATGTATTTGCCCTGATCAAGGTCTTCCATGGAGGTCGCAGCCTGCCACAATGTGGGGTCGTACCACTGGAAATTCTCTGCTCCAGTGAAGTAGATTTTTGATGCTAATTTTAAAAGAGGCAAGGAGAAAGTGTGAGCCAGAGCAGTGCATTGATTCTCCTTGGCTGATATTCCCTTGTTTGTTTGTTCACAAATATAGAAAAAAACACTAATGTTGAGACACCCATGGATTCAAGTCTGCAGATGCATAATCAGTGGGACAAGACATCTTATAGGATTCCTCCCCCCACCCATAGCAAAGGAAAAGCTGGAGCAAATGCCAAAGCTTATCCCTTCCCTGAACTCCTAATGGTCAATGCTTTTATTACACATATATCCAATTTCTCATGGCATTTCAAAAATTCCAATAACCTTGTTTTCTTCATAGAAATCTGCTTCCAAATCCATTATTAGTTTATTTGATTTGCAAAATATGAAGATAGGATTTTATTACTTCCATCGGCTCCATGTGTGTGTGAGAGAGAGTGTGCGAAAGAAGCAGGCTATGATCCACAAAAGTCTATGCTGAATAAAACTTGTCCGTTGTCTTTTAAGATGCTTGCTTGTTGTTGCTGCTGCTGCAATAGATTAGCATAACTACCTCCTTGGAAATTTCTATTAATTGTATTTCATCCATGGCAATGGCCTTATTTTTCTGAAGGGGACATTTGGAACTTTTCGAAGCCTTTCTGTACTTCTTTCTAGTAATATGGCTGAGCCCATCAGGTGGAAAGCAAGCAACCTAGAGGTACCTTCTGTTGTGCAGGATACAGCTCCACCTCTAGCTACCATCTGCCATTGCTGAGATCATTAGAAGGAGAGGAAGCAGCTAGTCCTTCCACTGTGCTTGGATCCAGTTCCATTACCTGCTCGTGCTGATCTTAAGCCCCATGAGATCTGCAGGCTGATTGCTTTCTCTCTTGTTTTTAAAACAACCCTCCATCCTTTGATGTGCCAAGAACATTTCATTGAAAGATCACATGAAATGACAAGTGAGCACAGTGTGTTACCCCTTGTGTCTCTTGATTCCACATTTGACTGACCTGACGTCAGGATGCCTTGGTTTCCAACATATCAGGTGTCTGGCTTGCTGCCACAAGCAAATGTAGATGAAAAGGCCCTCCTTACTTTTAACTTCCACCTGCCTATAGCACTTGTGGAACAGCTGCAATAGGGAGAAGTGGAATAGATGGCAAGAGATAGCCTGGAGTTCCTCTGTAGGCATCTTTCAGTCTTGAGAGACTACGGTAATGTCTTCTATGTGGAGGTCTTTGAACAGTGTCTAGTGTGGCTGAGAAGGCCAATTCAAGGGGGACAATCCTTTCTACACTGAAGACAAATGCAATCTGTCCCCTGTCCAGCTCCCTGATTTTGCTGCTTTTGTGACTGTCTCTTTGCCTCTTCAAATTGGGTCTCTTCAAATTGGGTCTCTTCAAATTGGGAGAGGCCGTGCTTCTATATGGAGGTCTTGGAACAGTGTCTAGTGTGGCTGAGAAGGCCAATTCAAGGGGGACAATCCTTTCTACACTGAAGACAAATGCAATCTGTCCCCTGTCCAGCTCCCTGATTTTGCTGCTTTTGTGACTGTCTCTTTGCCTCTTCAAATTGGGTCTCTTCAAATTGGGTCTCTTCAAATTGGGAGAGGCCGTGATGCACCGCCTGCCTCCAGGCTGAACGCTCAAATGTCAAGGTTTCCCATCTGTTGAGGTCCATTCCTAAGGCCTTCAGATCCCGCTTGCAGATATCGTTGTATCGCAGCTGTGGTCTCCCTTTGGGGCGATTCCCCTGCACTAGTTCTCCATACACGTGTGAAGTTCCTCTAGGGCTCAGATTAAAGTCTAAACCAAAGAATTATTTAAAGGGACATGATGCTTCCTGAGCCATGGATCATGAACTACAACAATATTACCATCCACCTCTCTCTCCCTCCCTCCCTCTCTCTCTCTCTCTCGAACCTAATGTTTTCGACCAGGCTTGCAAGCAATGCTCCTGAATAGATCTGGGGATATTCATATTTGTAAACAAATGCGAATATCCCCATCCCAGGTGCACCTAATACGGGTCCGGCCCTCGGAACTGGCCTGCAGGTATCATATTCCTTAAGGAACCTAATGTTTTGGACCAGCCTTGCAAGCAACGCTCCCAAATAGAGATGGGGATATTCAAATTTATAAACAAATTTGAATATCCCCATCCCAGGTGCACCTAATACGGGTCCGGCCCTCGGAACTGGCCTGTCAACTCATCCCACTCTTCTTGCCAATCAAGGAAGCAGCTCCACCGTCTCCCTGCTCAGCTGACCACTCCAAGCAGCGGACGGGAAGACAAGTATCCCCACATGGCTGCTGAGTGACCAGAAGAGCAGGGAAATGGCTGGGCTACTTCTGCAGTTGGCAGGAAGAGCGGGAGTCTGGGGGTGTGGTGGCAGGTGAGTGGACAGGCTGGTTCTGAGAGTGCACCTGGGATGTAGATACTCGTATTCATTAACGAATATGAATATTCCCATCTATATTCCTGAACTGAGCCTAGGCAAACAGAAGTGACCGCTAGGCTATGTTCCCATGTACAAGGCTGATTATAGGAGGGAATGGGCAAAAATCAGTCTTGATGCTGCCTCTCCTCTTCCTTCTTCTCCCTACTATATCCTTCTTTCCTCCATAGCAACCTAGAGCATGGGAGCTGATATCCATTCTTGCCTTCTCCCTCTATATTTTCATCTCGATCATCACCACCACCACCATCATCTTACAACTGCTGAGCTAGAAGAGACCCTATGGCTCTTGAGGCCAGCCCCAATCAAGGAGGCACAGCAGGGAATCGAACTCTCAACCTCTGGTTCCACAGCCAGATACCTAAACTACTGAGCTATCCAGAAGTTCATGCTCAGTCTTGCTTCCCTTCCTTTCACTTTCCACAAGAAACAAGCAAATAGCCCTTCTTTTGCTGAGGGTGTTCGTTCAAAGTCAATTGCTGGATTTCAGCTATCCAATCCTTTTTTCCTCAATACAAGCAACTTCACACGGGCCTCTGGTTCCATAGCCACAAACATTGCTACAATATCTGGTTTATTATTCCAAATATATTAAGGGGATGTCACGTAGAACTTACAGAAGTTGCTGGAGAAGGTATTTCACAAACATAGCAAGGGAATAAGCCTGTGGGCTGCTGTGGAAGACAATAAAGCTGACAAGTTTATTATCCATCTATTGGCCATTGGGTTGGGTCTCCTCCCTCTGCCAGAGCTCTTTTCAAACACAACTGTAAACATGCCATCCTCAAACGGTATCCCACAGTTCTTCTGCTGGGGAATTTAATATGAAAATCAACAATACACTGGGGCTGAAGTGCACCGGGTATGATTCAATTCATATTTAATTCATTAATAACCTTCCTTCTGTTTAATATTAATGGAGCAGTCATGCGTTTACACATAATCTAGCATGCTCGTTAGAACCAAAGTCCACAAGGGTCTTGAATCAGAAATTAGGTCTCACTACTAGTCAGATTCAATTGTCCAGGACTATTTTTTTTCTCTCATTAACAGATAAAACTTCAGCATGTTGTTCATTTGGGACAACAGGGCTTTTCCAGAAGGAGCTATATATACATGAATAGGCTTCTATAGTCACTCCTATATAGAGCCTATACAGTTTGGGTCCAGGGTACCTGAAGGTCTATATCTCCCCATGTGAACCTTCTCGGTGATTAAGATCAGCAAAGGAGGCCCTCCTCTCGGTCCCATTGCCAGCGCAGGCACAGCTGATGGGGACACGAGACGGGGCCTTCTCTGTGGCAGCTCCCAGCTAATGGAATGCTCTCTCTCGGAAGGTCAGGCTGGCCCCCTCCCTTTTATCCTGCCAACAGCTGAAGACCCATCTTTCCAGGCAGGCCTTTAACAATCATAATTGAGTCCCTGAATGCCTAAGCAACACCAAAATATATTTGATGCAGTAATGTACAAGAACCCATTTAAAAGAATCCATTCACTAAGGGAAAGTTTTCTTCACCTGCTTCAGGAGGGACAACAAAGACGGGGCCAGTCTTGTATCCTGTGGGAGGGATTTCCAGAGTCCGGGAGCAGCGACAGAGAAGGCCCTTGCCCATGTTCACCAATCATATCTGTGAAAGTGGAGCAACTGGGAGGAAGGCCTCCCCTGAGGACCTTAACACTTGAGCAACCTCATTGATAAAATGTGTGATCATTAGAGGAACAGTGCCTCCACTTCTTTGTTTCTTCCACTGTTGTACAGTGGTGCCTCGCTTAACGAGTGCCTCACTGAGCGATGAAATCACTTAACGAGGCACTCTGGGCCGCCAACAGCTGAAGACCCATCTTTCCAGGCAGGCCTTTAACAATCATAATTGAGTCCCTGAATGCCTAAGCAACACCAAAATATATTTGATGCAGTAATGTACAAGAACCCATTTAAAAGAATCCATTCACTAAGGGAAAGTTTTCTTCACCTGCTTCAGGAGGGACAACAAAGATGGGGCCAGTCTTGTATCCTGTGGGAGGGATTTCCAGAGTCCGGGAGCAGCGACAGAGAAGGCCCTTGCCCATGTTCACCAATTGTATCTGTGAAAGTGGAGCAACTGTGAGGAAGGCCTCCCCTGAGGACCTTAACACTTGAGCAAGCTCATTCATAAAATGTGCGATCATTAGAGGAACAGTACCACCACTTGTATGCTTCTTCCACTGTTGTATTTGACTTAATCCAGCATAGCAGTAGGTTATTCCTACTCTGGGGTGGACAGACTAATACTCTTCAAATGCTTTGAATTACAACCCCCATCTCTTACTCTTGGCCAGGCTGGGAGGAGTTGATGAGTGCTACAGTCCAAAGTCTCTGAAGGTCAACTGTCTTGTTGACCTTCAGAGGTCAACAAGAAGTCAACATGCTTATGTGCACATAATTCACTGTTCATGATCCACATATATATTAACCAATCCTAACCCCTGTTATTAACCTTACTTTGTTTTTAAAATATTTGACATGCGTGTCCTACTAAGTTGGATAGGATCAGTTTATTAAGATGTTATTAATTGTGCTAAATCAAACTAACTAAATAGTCCTATTTGCTTAACCTTCCCCAGGCAGTGAGAACCTGAGCAATCCATAATTAGCCCAAATGGGTTCTGGGGCTCAGCCTCAGATCAAAACAAACCCTAGGCGATACCATTCTTTTAGACTGCAGACATAGGGGATGTGCATTTCAGTTTCACTGTGTTTGTGCTAGAAATGCAAACAATGAGATTGATTCCCTGGGAATATTCCCTGGGGTAAACTGCCTTGAAATGAATGCAATTTAGGAAACAGCAAAACACAGCTCCTTTCAAGGAGACGGTCCTGGAAGAATGTATGCACCCAACATCTGTCATCTCCTCCTCCTCCTCCCTCCATCCCATTATAGGAGAGAAGGCTCTGGTTATACTTTCAACATTTCAGAGGGCTCCAAGGGAAAGATAATAATAAAAAGCAGAATGACTCGAGTGATCGGCAGCAGAACTGAGCGGTATTCTCAAAACGCTTAATTTGCATGACTAATTACGGGTGGTTTGTGTACAATACCTGTCTCACATCCTGGATTGTAACTGCCATCAAAAGCTGCAAACCCAGCGCCGGGGCCCATAATGAGTTCTCCATTCAGTGGCATGTACTAGGCAGAAGAAAGAAAACAAAGGAAATGGAGGTGGGTGAGGATGTTGCAAAGCAGCTCCGGGCTCAGCTATTCCTCAGCAAACCAGTCTGGTAAATGAGTAATAACATCGCAGCAGCAGTAGCAATACAATGTCTCGATCTAGAAACATTTTACCATTCACAATGAGCTCTAGTTTGTATTGATCCGTGGGCAGATTCATTCAAAATTATCTTTCGCCTGTACAGTATTCTTAAATCAAATGCTTGTTCTCCAAGATAATGTCTGGCCTGGGAACCATGGGTGAGAGGCAGGTCGCCGCACTTTCTGAATCCTGGGGCTAAGGGACTGCAGAGATCCCCTTTTAAATGTTGATGGGGAAGCAAGTTAAGATCAAAATGTCAGCTTGTTCAGAAGCAGTGATGCTCCCCCAAACTACAACATTTGAGACTGCAGTGCAGGATTACATATTCTAACATCCCCACAATGCATACAAAACCCTGGTGATTAGGGCTGACACTCCAACAAGTCTTTGATTAGTAGAGAGGGATGATGAAATCACCTGCCCCATCATCCTGCCCCATTATCCTCCAGTTTCTGTGCTCCTTCTGAGCTTAGCTACAATCCTCGCATAAATTGTTCCTTTTGTTAGGGAAAATATATGCCTATACATGATTGAGCTTTCCCTGTTGTAATGTCAGGTGTTTGGTCGGTGGCTTGATCTTGAATGGGCATACAGACCCATTTAGTTTACAAAAGACATGTTCTTGGCAGAGAGGGAAACTAGCAGGACTGATTTGTTGACAGGGACCATCATATCTGTCTGCATTTTTTAATCCTCCTTGGAAGTGTAGTTTTCACGATAAACATCTGCAGCTGAGCATTTAGCCCTGTGTCACTGCATCCATAACAAACTGAGTATGAAAGAAAGAAGCCTCAATGTTTCAGATTGTCCTTTCCCTGTCATTCAGCTCTTTTATGGAAAAAGGAAGAAAAGTGGGATTGCAGTGGTTTAGGGAGACCAGAGCCCACCCCACATATGTATTCATGTGAAGGCACAAAAAGAGAAGAATTTAGGGGGGAAATCATGTTGGGTGGGTGGATGAATGGATTTCGACTGTTAGCATCCATTCAGATTCAGCCTTAAAGATTCCAACAAATCTAGCAGAAGTCTTATAGAAACCAATTCTATCCTCTAAGTCATTTTCAAACACTGATTTCTGGTGCAATTACCAATCGGCTTTCTTTGTTCATGAAGACTGAATTAGCACATCTTACAGCTGGGAGGAAGAAGGGAAGATGTATAGGTCCCCTTCCACAGCCATCTGCTTGTTATCCAAAAGATCAATCACGAAAGGCCATTGAGCTAATCTCTAAAACAAAACCAGATCTGCCAAGATAATTTCCCCCCAGATTGTTTTGGGTCATAATCAATATCTGATCCTTTCACTTGTCCATATATCTGTCAATCCATTAAGTCTGTATTGTCTGCAGTCACAGCCACATGGCTGGGAAGGTCCTTGAGAGATCATCTTGATCAACCAACACAGATCCTTACCAATATGCCAAAAACTCCTGCAGAGAATGCATGTTGAGCAGAAAATAACACAAATGTGGTGGCCAGATGCATGCATGTCTCACCGCAAACCTGTTCAGAACTACAGCAGGGCATCTGCAATGTGTGATACCACTCACAGTTCAGATATTGGCCCAGGGGTCACAGTACTGTAATAATAGTACATTTTTCAGTTCACAATCTGTTTTGCATGCTGGCGACAGGTCATGTGATTTAGCAGCTTCATGGGTGATCTCTCTGTAGCAGCCTTTATGCCTACAGGTTTTCAGTTGCCAAGTGTATATAAAATAAAATAAAATAAAATAACGTGCCTATGCAAACAAAATTGTTATTTGGCAGCTGAGCTGGCAAAAGAACTTTAAAAGCCAGGATAAACACAGGTTGTGTATTGAGCAGCAATATCGGAGAAGGAGTTCTACGTGTGACTGCTTCAAACAGAAGCACGTCTCTCCAATGCACATGTTCTCCTATCCCCATCTATGCAGAAACTCCCTATATCTTTCTGGTATTAATCAAATCACAGGCTGCTGTTCCATATGAATTGGCAGATCATGGCTTAATGTCACACTACAAGCCCAAGTTTGGCAAAAGCCCATTTTTGGACTACAACTCCCCAAATCCTATCGGTTGGGGGACTTAGCTGTGTTTTGTGCATGGATGGTTGTAGCCCCCCCAGGAAAAGGAACGGATCCAACCTCTGCTATAAACCAGCTCAATGGCAGAGATGTTTTGCATGCTTAAAGTTCCAGGATTCAGTTCCAAACACCTGTAATATAAAAAGATCCAGCAGCAGGTAACAAGGAACACTCAAGCCTTTGAGCCCTTGGAGAGAGTGATGTTTTACCAGCACAGACCAGACATCAGCAGGTACATCAGCAGGTGCACGATCTGTCTGGTTCCCAGCCGTGAAAGCCTTCGAGAATACATTCTAAGGCAGATTTTAAACACAGTTTGAGAAGGGAGCCAATCTGTCCCAACTTCATTCAGGTAGCTCCTATCTGTGAGCTGGCATTATGTCTGAACCAAAGCTTGGAAAGGATACAGGGTTTTGTTTTGTTTTGGACTACAATTCTAGCTGAGCAATTCTGAGAATTACTGTCCAAAAAAAAAGTGATTTCCAAGCTCTGGTATGCACCAGGATGGTGTTCGTACAAAAGTCAGACACGAGAGAGGGCCTTCTCTGTCGCTGCTCCCAGACTCTGGAACTCCCTTCCACAGGAGGCCTGCTTCGCCTCATCTTTGCTGTCCTTCCACAAGCAGGCCTGGTTCGCCTCATCTTAGCTGTTCTTCCACAAACAGGCAAAGACCTTTCCCTTCAGGCAAGTTTTCAATTACTGTTTGGCCAACAGGATATTTTTAAAGGGATTATTTTATTCTGATGTTTTACTTGAGCTTATAATATTGCTCTTATTGATGAGTTTTAACATGATACGTGTTTAATGCTTTTTAAAAATTGTAATAATTAGGGGGAGGAATTACTGGTTAGCCAACAGGATATTTTTAAAGGGATTATTTTATTCTGATGTTTTACTTGAGCTTATAATATTGCTCTTATTGATGAGTTTTAACATGATACGTGTTTAATGCTTTTTAAAAATTGTAATAATTAGGGGGAGGATTTCTATGACATTTCACATTTTCTCTGCAACCTACATTTGAATCCATGAACAAAGTTCAAATGTGTTTATGAGCAATCTGGCCTTTCTCACCAGATTCCTCATAAATATATATTCAAACCCCCCACCCCCATAAGCTCAAACATAGGTTGCAGAAAACATATGACATGTCATAGAAATACTACCCCTAGTGATAATTTATTATTTAGCTTTTAACCTTTTTAATACTGTAAGTCGCCTTGGATATTCAAACCCCCCACCCCCATAAGCTCAAACATAGGTTGCAGAACATATGACATGTCATAGAAATACTACCCCTCGTGATAATTTATTATTTAGCTTTTAATTTTGATTCTTTTAATACTGTAAGTCGCCTTGGATCCTTAATATGTTCAACCCCCCCCCATAAGCTCAAACATAGGTTGCAGAAAACATATGACATGTCATAGAAATACTACCCCTAGTGATAATTTATTATTTAGCTTTTAACCTTTTTAATACTGTAAGTCGCCTTGGATCCTTTAGGAGAAAAGCAGCATATAAATATTTTAAATAACTAAATAATAAATATTTTCAGCACAATTATCACCACATTGTTTGTGTTAATTGGCAGTGAGCAATATCTGGTCTGCTTTGAAGTTTTTTAAACCGAGTCCCTGGTAGTTTCCATTGCTGAAATATTGAATCCTCCATGCTGATGCCATTAATTTTTCCATTGCAAGAATCCACACCTAAACTTCCCAACCCAATTTCCACCACAAACACAGCCTCGACCTTTTAGTATTTCCTTTCCCCCTATCCTTTTATTTTAATATTAGTTTTAATTTATTTTTCAGAGGTGACATACCTTCCTTCTCATTCAGTGCCAAATTTGACAGGCATAATATTTTTTTTAAAATGCAGACACTACTTGGAAGAGAAGAGACAAAAGGACTTAAATGCAGAGGAATTATCCCACTGCAAAACCGGACCTCAGCAAAGATGCAATGCCCCTGGAGGGCATGCCCACAACTGTTCCTTTGGTTTGAAACAGGTGATCACCCATGTCAGAAAACGGAGAAAAGTGAGGCCAGAAGAATTTGGCACAAAATCAACCACTCCCGACTGGCTGAACAAAAAGATGTGGATGCCGTTGGAAAAGATCAGACTTCTCCATGCTTAGCTTTATATTGTGAGGTCGCTGGTAAATACTTCAGTTTTAGCCAAGTCAGCTCCAATACAAACCGCAGACTAAATGGCAATGTAGTTGCACCCTGACTTGCATAGTGCCAGGGTCCCTTCACAACTGGCAACAGTCTTGAGCCTGGTCAAACTTAATAATGAAGTTCTCCATCTCAGTGCTTTCTGCCTTCTCGGTCCTCACCTCTTTAAACACATTTCAGTCCTCACCTCTTCAAATGCATCCTGTGATGTCGCTGTACCAGCACAAGACCTGTTACACTAGTATCTCTACATTCTCACAACTAGTGCAGAAGTGATATCCCGGACGGATTGCAGGGTGCAAGAGGTTGCAATCCAGCATAACTGCATCAGAACCAGTTTTCACTCTCCCAAATCTCCCCCCCCCAGAAGAAGGGAACGGTAAAACTCTGCTAAGTACTCTGTAAATGATGGTATAACTATTCTATATGTTGATTGTTTTTATATTCTTTTTATTCTTTGTTGTGAGCTGCCCAGAGTAGACTGTGTCTAGATTGGTGGCATATAAATAAAATAAATAAGTAGCTAGAAAACCCTCGAAAACCAGAAGTCAGAATCTCAACTTGATAGCATGTAATAACACTCTAATTATTATCAACATTATGCTAGGTTTAGGCCATGTGATGAAT